AAATATAATTAGCAATGTTTCCAGTCCTTTCATTCATGACTGCAGAAAGGCACATGTAAGGCAAAAAGGACACATATGGAGGGGCTTTTATCTTAGCAAGTTCTTAACAAAAGAAAATTTTATTCATTAACATTTTAATTGCCCCATATGATTTTGCAAGCAGCTTCAATGTCATTGCTAACTAGTGAGGTGTCGTTCTTTGTCAACTTCTGAATCGGAATGCTATACATCACAGGTAATGAATGCCATCAACTCAAGAAGCTGAATGCCTATAACATCAAACAAACATAAACAAGTCTTTATTTAACCAATATTGTTAATTGGTATAACAAAATACAAAATCCTATACACTCCTTTGCAAAAAATCTGGTTCAACACCATCCTCATTTTTAGCATTGCCTTCCTCATTCCAGCATTAAATACAGGCTTACACATAAATCAAGAAAGTCCCTCAACAACAAGCCAACTACATGTTCTGTGTCACTTCAGTCACCTGACTAGTAGCACCAATGCACAACTCTCAACTGGTCCCCCTCCTCCTCAGCAATGATGGTGACAGTTGGACCCTTGGCAAGGCTGGCATACAGAAGAAAGCCAGACCCCATTAGTCGAGTGGGTAGATCGCCCGCAGCCAAGGACTTGGGATATACTGGGCACCATCATAGAAGTCAAAATAGGTGGTCATTTCTGGATGATTCACCTACCAAGTAAAAGGGTCATTTGAAATCTGTAACTAATCTCTAATAATATATAAGGGTAAATTGGAAAATTAAGAAACCTAATATCCACCTTTGACTCACAAAGAGGTATACAAGTTTTATAGTTTATAAAACTATGAACTATAAAACTTGTAATGATGCAAATACTGAAAAAGATAATAAATACATATAAACTGTAACACAGATTGACATAAAGAATAATAAATATAAAGATCAACAAATTATATATATATATATATATATATATATATATATATATATATATATATATATATATATATAAATATATATATATACATATATATATATATATATATATATATATATATATATATATATATATATATATATATATATATATATATATATATATATATATATATATATAATTACATCTTTGAATATAATTGAAACCGGCCAAATACATCTCTTGCATTGTGAATATATTCATTCTCATGCATACCTCTTCTACATTTGCCAACATCTATACAGTTCATATATACATATTTATGCATATATACATAAATATACATATATATATACATATATGTATACATATTTATACGTATATGTATACATATTTATACATATATACATTTATAAACATATCCATACATATAAATACATATACATATACATACATATATATACATATATACACATACATATACATATACATATATACACATACATATACACATAATATATAATATATACATACATATACACATAATATATAATATATACATACATACATACATATATATATATACATATATATATATATATATACATATATATATACATACACATATGTATATATTTGTATATATGTGCTTATATATGTACATACATTTATACATATATGTATATAAATATAAATATATATGTATATAAATATAAATATATATATATATATATGTCTGTATACATACATACATATATATATATATATAAATATATCTCTATATACATATACATACAGGTCTCCCCCCCCCCCCCCTTCCCTTTCGTGCCATTCTTCTCACCTCTTCCTTTAAAACTGGGGAGATGTTTTCTTGTGGGACATAGGTGATCTGCGAATTCCTCCGGTCCTTGGTGTCGACCAGCAGGGCGTAATTAGGTTGTTCTCTCCAATGCTGCAAAAAGGCAAATTTCGAGTGGGGGAGCTTACGACAGGGACGCGAAAACACAAAAAGGTATGATATAATGAATAAGAAATCCTATTATATAATGCATTTTTTTTTTCTTTTTTTTTTTTAATGAATTTCCCTATACATGAGATCCTATGTCTAACCAAGAGCATCAATCACTAACTTTAAATACCAATGATTTTTGAGGAAGTATTAGGAACTGCAAGATATCCCCTTTTCTCTCTTCCCCTTTACTTTCTTCCTTTTTTCCCCTTTCCTTTCTTTTCTCTCTTCCCCTTTACTTTCTTCCTTTTTTCCCCTTTCCTTTCTTTTCTCTCTTCCCCTTTCCTTTCTTCCTTTCTTCATCTTTCCTTCCTTCCTTTCTTCCTCTCTTCTTCCTTCCTTTCTTCCTTTCTTCATCTTTCCTTCCTTCCTTTCTTCCTCTCTTCTTCCTTCCTTTCTTCCTTTCTTCTTCCTTCCTTTCTTCCTTTCTTCTTCCTTCCTTCCTTCCTTCCTTCCCCTTCCCTTCTCTGCCTTTCTCTTCCCTTCTCTTCCCTTTCCTTCCCTTCCTTTCCCCTTACCTTACCTAACCTTCTTTACCCTACCCTACACTTCTCTACTCTTCCCTTCCCTACCCTACACTACTCTTGCCTTGCATTACCTTACCTTACTTCTCCTCCCCTTCCCCTTACCTTAACTCACCTTATCTTACCTTACTTTCCCTTCCCTTCCCTTCCTTACCCTACCTTACCCTTCCATCTTACCTTATGGCCATCATGCATTTTCTCAATCCACGCCTCTGGAGCCTGGAATTATCAAATTAGATTTCAGAATTAAATATGTACTATATTACTATATCACTGAAAATTACACTATAATCAGGCCAAGGACATGATATTCGAAAAACAACAGATCATAAAACAACAGTTCTGGTTAAATGAACGTATATCAACCTGATCGGCATGGATGGCAAGAATACATGCGGTAATAGAAGTTCGTTTATTGTTTTTAACATAGATGGTTTTACAAGTACTTAGTCACCAAGGAGTCAGTTATTAGTCCTACCTACCTCATTAGTTTACCCTTTTTCTTGATTTTTGGAGAGTGCCTTTTGTATTTTATTATATTTCATATTACCAAGATTTTAATAACAATCTAATGATCATAATATCAATAATAATAAGAACAGTATCAATATCAATAGTATTACAAAGAAAAACACATTTTTACATAATTTCAAGGAATGGGGTAATCAGGATCCATCTTTAGGGCCTACTGCTAGACTCCTTGCTAGCTGAGCAATTGTGGAGCCATATGTATGTAACAAAATTCAGAAAAAAATACAAGGTAAATTATATAATTGCAAAAAGTGTACAGGACTCCTTTGTATCAAGAATTTCATCAAAACTTCATCTCCTTCCAGCATCTACCCAGCCTTCATCACAGATGACTTGATGGCCACAACTGTGAAGGAATCCAACCACTTTACTGAGACAACTAGAGAAAGTGGATCACAATGACTGTCACAAAAAAGGCAGGTGCACTTCATCCTCCATCTCCAGACAGGAGCTGTCAAATAGCTGCAGTTGAAGCAGTATTAATGTTGTTGTTAATACCAATTTTCCCTCATATCACGCCAAGGGATCACATTAACCAGATCTCAGCCTACCTCTACTCCTGTAACAATTCACTCTATCAAGAAGCAATCCAGTTATAGAAACTATGCTAAGGAACTGACATCCTGAGCAAGCAGACAGGTCAGGGAAGGACGTACCAGCACTGGGCCTACTGCTGGATACACCTTTGCCTTCAAGTTGTACCCAGTTATATATAGATCTGTCATGCCGAAATAGAGCAAACTAAAATCGATTTAAAAGAGGTGGCAGGACAGTATGGGAAGGATACAAGTTATTACTCTATTCTACTCTCTTTTACACCACCAAGCAAATGTTAGTACTGAGAGGATATCTCACCAGGCATTGAAGAGTTCAGGACCAAAGTACAGCAACAGGTATGCTGTGGGTTGACTAAAAGTCCATCGCCATCCTCTCCAATTGTCTATACCAAGCACCCCAAGCAATAATTCCATGCAAACCAAAGCAGAAAATCTACCCACCTTACATTTCAGATCCCATCCTATGATGACGCCCTTGTACCCCCACCGCTTGTGCTTCACTACCTGCCCAATACGCCACCGCACTCCTAGGGGTCGATTTGTGCGGGGCTTGGGTGACATCGCAAACATTCCCTTGGGGTTCCGCAAATGCCAGACCTCCACAGCTGGGCACTCTCCCTCAGGATCGTTTGCTTCAGCTGTATACCAATGGCTGTAATCTGCAGTGGAACAGGAGTTATTAAGAGCTTATTTTTTAACTAATACAGTATATATATTTTTTTTTTTATGATAATAACTAACATTTCTATAGTGATACAATTAATGATAATTTCAAAAGTTATTTGTAACATTAGTCTACTAGTTGTGTTACTAATGCTAGTAGCAATTACCCTTACCAATACATATTTGCATTTTAGTAATAACTCAAAGCAGGAAGACTTTCCTAATAGGGAGATTAAAGAGTCTAATTGTTCAAGGGATTTCCTATTAGCTCTTTGCAATTCCTAATAATGCAAATTGTAAATTTCCTTAAAAAATAACAATGTTTATAGTATGTTCAGTCTTGTTGTTTTTAACGAGGGCTTACATAGACTCTGGAAGATTTTTACTTGAGAATTAACAGCATCACATATACACCATCTGGCTTCACTGGGCTTGGAAAAATATACTGTACCACTTCATTAGCTTTGCTGATAAACACAAAACATACACACATAAAAATTTGAATAATTACAGGCAAACAAGAACACAATATAAAAAAAACACAGGCTATTTACCATTAGTGATGAACTTCTTCTTCATTCCAATTAACCAATTCTGCCACGTCTCTACAGAAAGCCAGTTACTTGCAAAGTTCCGCACTTCCTCTACCAGCTTGTACACTTCAGCTGTGCGGTGATCTGGGCTGACAAAGGAGCGCTGTGCTAGCCAGTACTGAATCGGAACACAGCACATTAGCACACATAGCACAGCAGCATCACGGCCGAAGAAGGGCATTGCAAGACCTACAAAAAAAAATGGAATGCATTTTAATTTTATGATAAAATAACAAGTGTACAATTTTTCCTATAGCTAGTTCATACTCATTTATCAGAGTAAATTTACTAATACTCTAGCAAGGACTCAAGGTTACAACCAATAAGCATTTGGGCAACAGATCTTTATCACATATATTCTAGCAAGAAAGAGCTAGAAGTCATTTCCGCAATATAATATTAAATACAGATCAAAGTTATATCTCTTATAAATATACATAGTAAAGGTTTGTCAACCTTTGGAATAGCACTAAAAGGCCAAAGGCATATACTCAACAGATCCTGGCAAGTTTTAAGTGGATTTAGATAGTACATAATATATTGGTAGGGAAGTAATCTTATTTCACATGCACTGCAGGTATCAATGATGGGATTAGAGATTGGAATCTAATCTTTTTCTAGGTGTGTGTGTGTATGTGTGTGTGTGTGTGTGTGTGTGTATATATATATATATATATATATATATATATATATATATATATATATATATATATATATATATATATATATATGTATATATATGTATATATATGTATATATAAGTATATATATGTTTATATATATTTATATACATACACATACATATATCTATACACATATGAATATACATAAATATAAATATAATATATGCATATATATGTGTGTATATATATACATATGTATGCATATATATGTATGTATATATATATGCATATATATGTATGTATATATATATGCATGTATATATATATGCATGTATATATATATGCATATATATGTAGGTATATATATATGAATATATATGTATGTATATATATGCATATATATGTATGTATATATATATGCATATATATGTATGTATATATATATGCATATATATGTATGTATATATTTATGCATATATATGTATGTATATATATATATTTATGCATATATATGTATGTATATATATATATGCATATATATGTATGTATATATATATATATGCATATATATGTATGTATATATATATATATGCATATATATGTATGTATATATATATATATGCATATATATGTATGTATATATATATATATATGCATATATATGTATGTATATATATATATCTATATGCATATATATATATATATATATATATATATATTATATATATATAATATATGCATATATATATATATATAATAGCTATTATCTTATATCTAAATAATATATATATATATTGCAATATATGTATAGGCATATATCATGTGTCTAATAATATCTTCTATATATATACAATATAGTATTATATATAATCTATCTCTCTATACAATCTATCGTATCTATATACCTATATACATATCTACTCTATATATATACTATCTCTCGCATATATCTATCATTATATATATGTTATACCCTCCCCGTCCTCTTTCTGTGTCTCTCTATTCTATCTCTACCATCTCTCTCTATCATCGAAATATCTCTCCACTATCTACATCTATATATCGCTATCTCTTCTCTATATTATCTCATTATCTATCTCATCTCTATCTCCTCATATCTCTCTACTACCCACCCCTATATATCTTCTCTATCTATCCTTATAATATATCTAATAGATATCTATCTATATATATTGTGGTGTGTATCATATATATCTATTCGGTATATATCTATATCTCTAGCTCCTATCTCATATATCTCTACATTTCTTGCTATATATCTACCCTATCTATCATCTTTATTATATTTCTCCTTATGTATATACATATATGTGCTTATCTGCATCTCTCTGTATACTAGCGGGCCCATTATATATATGCATATAATATGTCTGTAGTATATTTCTATTTATGTATATACCTATATATGTGTATATATATCAGAGATATTGTTATAGTCTATGCATATAATGTATATCTATATCTGGCATATTATATGTATATATATATGCATATATATGTATATAATATGCCTATAGATGTATATTATATATGCATATATATTATTATATAAGCATAATATGTATATATATATTCATGATTGTAATATAGATGCTATATAGGGATATATATCATATATTATCGTAGAATATATATCAGATATATATTATATATATATATTATATATATATTATCTCTTCTATCTCTCTCTCTCTCTCTCTATACCCGCTCTCTCTCTCTAACTAAACTTAATACCATACATATCCCCTATCTATATCGACTCTTACTATATCCTCTCTATCTATTCTATCATAAAAATCAAAAAAATCTATCTCCTCTCTAACTCCCTCTGTCTGTGTTATATATCTTAGTCTCATCTCCCTGATCTGTACCCCCTTCTCTCTCTCTCTCCACTTCTCCTCTATCCTATCTATATATATTATATATATACATACTATATATCGATCTCATCTATCTATATCTCCACCCCCCCCTATTATATAGTAATATACACACACACTATGATATAAGAATATAGCCTATATCTCATAGATATAATATATATATAATATCTTATATATGTATATATATATAGTGATACTGCTATATATCTAAACTACATATGTATGTGGGTAATATATTATATATATACATATATTATATATGATATTAGATATATTCATATATACTCTATATATATATCATAATATATATCTATATATATATATATATATATGTATATAATAAGCTATATGTCTCTATATATATATCTATATATCTATATATGATATCTAATATATAATATATGTAGATATATGATATATCTGTTATCTGTATCATATATGTATATATGTATATATATATGATATATGTATATATCTAATATATCTATAGTATCAATATCCTATAATACTATACTATATATAGATATTATGAACTATGTATAGATATAATCTTATCTATCTATAATATGTTCAGTACATTCTATATATAGAGATATACATTAGTATATATATATATATTATATATATAATATCGGTATACTATCTAAATATTATATATATATATATCTGATACTATCATCTGTAATATATATATATATAATAATATAATATATATGATATAGTAAAATATCTATATATGATATATATGTATTATTGTTATATGTATATAGGTATATATAATACTTATAGAATATCGATCATATAATCCTATTATATTATAATAGACTATATGTACTTATTACATATAAGATCTATTGTATATATAGCGTCTCATACTATGACTGTGGTACTTCGTAGTAGTACGCCTATGCATATGGTATATACCTAACATTATACTGTAGTATACTTTTAATATCTATTATTTACTAGATATATCCATATCGTAATCTATACATCTATATAAATAGTTCATATCTAATTATAACCTATATTGTCATCCTTCCTTATATCTAAGGGTATTCACATATATACATATAATATCAAATAGCGCACATCAGATGGCGCTGTCCGTTATCTTCATCAAAATACCCTAAGTCACATACCACCGGGAATACTTCCTAGAAATTCGGCATATATATACATTAGCTATCTACTAACGCTAGTGATAAGTACTAAGCTGTCCGATTGACCGTACTACAATACTGGTACTGCTGGTTTCTTGCAGTCACGTGCTAACAGACTTCTATATTCATCCCAGACTGAGAATAGAAACCATGCCATAAAAACAATAAATATGGATAGTGTGAAATAGAAGCAAGTACATGCGAGTAGAATGAAACAGGTATATAAGACATGGAGTAAGTAACAGCAAAGCGGCACAAGGCCGAGTGCGAAAAATCTATAGGGAAAAATCAGGACACACATCATCATATGAGTGAGTGCACATTTAGTATACATATATCACCTCAGTCATACATATATGTAAAACTATATACTTGAAGATTCTTGATATTTAAATTTAGAATCCGGTCTTATATACGTCACTACCTTCCTACTCTTACGGTAAATAGCAGAATAATAGATCCATATAGTCCATAGAATATGTATAATAGTGTGAGGGGACCTATATAAGGCTATAAACTCAATAAAACAATTATAAAAAAAATCGTAACTAGGACACGGAATCCAAAATAAGTGATATAAAGTGGTCGCTAGTAGAGGATCCTCGAATAGGCTGAGAAGGAGTAGTCTAGTGAGACAAGAAGAAATCAGCCTACCGCAATCAGTAGTAATCAAGAGATGACTCCACCAACCGGCGTGAAAGCGGTGAAGGCTGCACTAATGAAGTAAGCTAAAGGTCAAACAGTATAACAAGTGTGTATATAATAGACACAAACGATAATGAATATATATATATAGATATTAAATGGTATTATATATAAAAGTGGTAGATGAACTAACATACGTAACATACTAATGAGATGGTTTAGGGTGCGGAAAATAGCTACCCCACCTATATGATGGGGATAAAATGGAGATCTTATATATATGAGCGTGATAACGTAGTATAATCACATATTAAATATGGTATATACTCTACCTATTAGTCGCGGTCGTGTATGATACTATGATATCTATATGACTTACGCCGCACGTTGTCACGAGCTATAATTACGCAACGGCCTCACTTTAATTATATATATGCCCGGGGGTCCAGGACGGGGGAGCGCGCGTGCTAACCCCGGCACACGCTCACTCAGGCTCACACTGAATCCCACCCTAGTGTGTAATGCTCAAGTGTCGATGGTACTAGTATACGTGCGTCCCCCTAGTGTATAGTAATCCCCGTCCGTCCTCGTAGGCGTGCGTAGTACCATAGTACACTATATCCTCTATTATTACCAGAATAGCATACCCATGTATTCAATATATATATATCGAAATATATATATATTATATATGTGTGTATATATATCTTATATTAATATATTAATATATATATATAATATATATATGTTATAGATCTATATATAATATATAGATATATATATATCTTATATATCCATATATATATATAGATATATGTATAGTTATATATATATGTGGGTAGCACCTCCCAGCACGAACTGATGGTCGTATGAGGACCCGGG